GCTGCTTTGGTCCATAACTGGTTTACAGATCAATTCTTCACTGCTCTGAACTTGCCTCCATTCTTGAATCCGATTGAAGAGTTCTTCTCTGCCTGGCGCTGGAAGGTCTATGACCATCATCATCATCAGCCCTTTTACAGGCAATGGAGGAGGCATGATGTCAGGCCTGGGTTCGGCATTCCAGGAAATATTCTCATTGCAGGAAATAATGATTACATTGCATGTGATGTGGATGACATCTTGTTGCCAGACCCAGAGAGAGATGATAAGATGAGACTGATTTTTTTTTCTCAGTAATTTTGTGTTTTGACTCACTTGTTTGTTTTGATGTGTGTTAATAAGGGGAGTGATGGTCTAGTGGTTAGAGCAGTGCGCTTCTGCTCTGAGAATGTTGCAAGAACTCGGTTCGAACCCCATAGCATCAGCTCTGGGTCCCTGAGCAAGACCTTTAACCCCACACTGCTCCCCAGGTGCTGCTCAATGGCAACCCGCTGCTCAGCAAAGCGATGGGTTAAATTTAGAGGTGAATTTCTCCAATGAGAGATTAATTATAAACCAATACCTGAAGTTTGGAACCCTGTATGCTTACAGAACTATGACAAAGTATGACCTAGAACTGACATAGCCTACGTTGTGCACAGAGAAAGCAAAAGCCTGATGTTTATTTTTTTATTTGTACCATCAGTGTGTAGTTGGTACATCGTGTGCTCATTATTTATGATGGCTTGTGTTAACTCTTTGATAAAAAAATTATTTTTACGTTGGCTTGTAGAGTTAAGCAATGATTACCAGCTTTTGATAGAAAACTACAACATTTTGCTTATCTAGCGAAAGGTTTTATTGTGTGTAAAGTTTAGCAAAAATAACCAAAAGCTACAAAAATTGTGCTTCAAACCATCAGAAAAAACAGCAAGAAAGAGATAAGAGCAGCTGCTGACCAGAACTTATCCCCCAAAGTTCCTCTCCTTCTTGTGACCTTTGCTTTTGTAGCAGCAGAGGTCAGCATTGCTTCATGTGGATGCTGCTCTCTGCTGCCTCATGTGGCAGTTACATCCTCAGCAGACAAGTCTTAGATCATGTGAAACATGCAGACCCTTAGAGAGACTGTGTCTCTGCTCAGTTCAGGTGACTCTAGTAGCTATAAAAACATCAAAGCAACAAATAAAGCAAAAGCCCTTTGCAACAGTAGGAGGTCTTTAAACATCAGTAGCACACTTTGTATTAAATACAGATTAATTTGCTCGGCTAATTCTGTACTGGAAGTGTTTGCACACTGCAGGCTCTGGTTATTAGATCTGTCTGCAGTAAAATTTGCTCTTCTGCATGCGAATCTCCTGGGACAGACTGGGTGGCTATCAGCGGACTTTGGTATAGCTTTAAAACTGAAATTAGGACAAGCTTTAAAGTTATCACCATCTGATTGAATTACTTTTCAATTAATTCAATTAAATTCAGTTTATTCATATAGCGCCAAACTCACAAC